AGCAGTTGTAGCAGTAGTAGTAGTAGTAGTAGTAGTAGTAGTGGTAGTAGTAGTAGTAGTAGTAGTGGTAGTAGTAGTCGTCGTCGTCGTAGTAGTCGTAGTCGTAGTAGTCGTGGTAGTCGTAGTAGTAGCGGTGGCCAGGCGGTAGCAGCAGCACTGCAGTAGTAGCAGCAGTAACAGTAGCCCTAGCCGTTGCTGTAGCCGTAGCAGTAGCAGCAGCAGTAGCAGTAGCAGTAGCAGCATGAGCAGTAGCAGTAGGTGTAGCACTAGCAGTGGCAGTGGCAGTGGCAGCGCAACGGCACGGGCATTGGCAGTAGTGGTCAACAGCACAAGGCAGTTCGTGTTCTCCCGAAGGAGGCAGCTCGAGTCCGTTGTGCAGTCAGCCAGACGAAGCCTGCGAATGCCGTGTGCTTAGCAGGAGTGTCTTTATGGCTTAGGGTCTGGAGCCGCAAATCCCATAAGCCCTAAACCGCATTGACGATGCTGATGATTTGCCATGTGAGTGCTAACGTAGTTTAAGCGCAACTGCAAATTGCAGTCCATTTGTATATCGTCCTGTACATGTTCCACCTGTTGATGTAGGGCCCTGCGTGTTGACATGTGTCCAGTGTTCATATTCGCACACGTACACCAACATATTCACATCGTGTTTGTTTTCATTCATCTCGTCCCGAGAACTTGTTTCGTCAAGCCGAGGCTGGGTGAGCGCCCGGATGTGCGGCCCGAGTCCGAGGCCACTCAGGGTTTAGGGTTTAGGGCTCGTTCAAAAAAGGGAATGTGTAATTGTATATTTGCGCATCTCGCCACGAGTGCGATGTGCTGGGGCGAGCTCCAATGAAGCCTGTGTAAAAGGGTGGTCCATAGTCATCAAGTCCGGTTTCAATAAAGCGTGGTCCATGAGACTTCTGCATGGGGATCACTCTCTAGAGCCATTTCTTTTAAGACAAGCCCAAAGGGATCTTTGATTTGACCTGATGACCAACCAGAGCCCACGAGTAAGCTTCAAACAAAGTAGCCACAGCATAACGCAGACAGTTTTGCCATCAGGGGCTTGGGGGTTAGGGTGTCTACTGGCTGTCTAGATCTTCCTCCCTGAGCATATGACACAATACAGTTTGTTTCAATATAGTATAATGAAGCATATCTTAAAACAAAATCATAATACAGTACACGACCTTATAAACCATAACTTAACATAGCTTACTATAACATATTACAAGTACACTACACTACAAGAAAGGCAGCCGGCATGGCCAGACGATGGCGCCTGGAGTTCGATGCCGCCAGTGATGTGGCACCTCGTCCCCCTTTCGGCGTTTCGAGATTAGGTTTTAGGGTAAGTGGCAAGCAAGGTATGCCATTGCACAAGCCCTGATTTGAAAAAAGGGTAAGTGGCAACAAAACCGTTCCCGGGGCCCTTCAGGGGGACGATTTTGGGAACTTCCAGAAGCCGAGGTTTCATTTGTAAGGGTCTGTTTCAGTTCAAAGATGTTGGACAGCCTAAGCGATTTGGAGCGTGTGGTGTGGCGTGGGGTGGTGTGGCGTGGCCTGGAATGGTATGTTGTGGTGCGCGCGGGCGTGCATGGATGTGTGTGTGTGTGTGTGCGCGTGCATGCGCCTTCCATCTGAGTTTGCAGGGTGCCGGTCATCAGACAGAGTGGAAGTTAAAACTAGATCACATTGGCAACAGCTCGCGCTGCACAGTCAGTGGCCACCCCCGACCTCCCTTTCATGACAAAAACAGACGCAGCTTAGAACCTCTCATTGCAAAAACGAACTGCTGGCCCTTGCTTTGATTTTCTGAACCTCCAACAGCCGAAGCCATGACAACCAAACTGCACAGCCCGATGAGCACGACGTGTCTCAATGAGAACTGCTCGAAAGGTTGGTTCGTGCTAGAACCCGGAGACTCCAAAACCCCTTAATTAAGGCATATACCGTAAACTATAATAGGAATCCCAATGTGATTTAAGGTTATATTCCTTGATTAAGGGGTTTAGGGTTTAGGGTTTAGGGTTTAGGGTTTAGGGTTTAGGGTTTAGGGTTTAGGGTTTAGGGTTTAGGGTTTAGGTTTTGGAGTCTCTGGGAAGCTCTCCCGAAACTCGGTGAGCTCTACGGCTGAACCCATGGGCCCCTAACATGGGCCCTTAGGGGATTCTAGGGTCCCTTAAGGGTATATATAGGGTATAGAGTAGGTATATTAGGGTCCCAGGCTTAAGGGCCCATACTAGGGTAGGGTTTAGGGTTTAGGGTTTAGGGTTCTAGGGTTCTAGGGGCCCATGGCTTCAACCTTAGGTGATCTCCGTGCCTTCGCTTCTCAGGTGGAAGCCATGCTCCGGTCCCTGAGGCAACGGGTGGCTGAGAGCATTAGCTGTAATTTCTAGGACCCCGGAGACTCCAATATCCCTTAATTAAGGAATATACCTTAAATTCAGATTAAGGATCCTACTATAATTTAAGGAATATTCCTTAATTATGGGGTATTGGAGTCTCTGGGATTACTATTCCTGATCCAAGGAGCTTAGACTCTAAAGCCTGAGGGCTCCAGGCAGCTGAATTGTGATTATTGTGGCCTAACAATTACCCAAAGGGTCCATGTACCCAAATAGTATATACTTTGGCCCCAAACAACTTATATAGGGACTACTTTAAAGCCAAAGGAGAAACTATTTGGGTACATGGACCCGCAGGGTTAGGTGACCGGAGCCCGATGTAAAGCTTGCTTAGTGGATGCGCTTCGAGGCACCCCGAGGCTGCCACGGCTGTGGCCGCCACCTCCCTGGAGCATGCGCTCCTCGGCCGTTCGAGCTTTCACACATTATGTAGGCACGCACACAGTATATGTTTTTGAACATATGTAAAAAGCTACACATATATATATATAGACATACATATGTTTTTGTTGTTTAGTTTTGTTAGTCTGACTCAATTACATGTACTGGCCTGCTGTAGTACTCGTATTCGTCTATGTATATACATATGCACACAGGGATGCATGGATGTGCGCATGGTTGATTCCAAATTCTTGGAGGATACGACCATGGCTCGTTCAATGGTCTCCTGCGGTCTAAGGGTCGAAAAAGGCTTCCAAACGTAGTTTGTGTAGAAGAGTTCACACTGTTTCAGCTTTTTGGGCTCCCCAGCAAGCAAAGAGATGGTTTCGGAACACAGCAGTGACGCAGGGGGGTCTCAAAAGAAAACAGCAGTTGGGGCGGCCTTTATGCATCCGAAACCCGTTTTCTGTTTTGAAACCCTTTCGATATTTGAGTTGTCGGGCCAGTCCCCAGGCTGAAATGTCTACGTCGTGTAACAATCTTCCGCCATTGAGGTTGGACCACAGCTGGAGCGGCTCAGATGCACGTCGCATCGGGGGTGTAGTATTCATGGTATCCCAAGTGGCCCTGAAGAGCTTTCGGCTTCAGGAGTCAGGTCTGTTCAGTCGCACTGAGGATTACCAAGAACGGAGTCTTTCAATCGCGGCGTCGTGCTTGCGTTTGACCCAAAACTTGATACATATCCCAATCCAGCAGCCCCAGAGAAGGCAACGCAGACAGAGACATCCATGGAAGACATGAACAATCAGCATGGTGCCTGCGATTGTGGGAGGTTTAGGGTGTAGGGCATCTTGCCGCCGAGGATTTGTATTGGAGCTGGTCGGCTTGATCGAGCGCTTGCTGGATGGCCTCGAGGGCGAAGTTCGGGCCAGTGCTGCTGCTCGGAAAGCTGAACCAGAGGTCCATGTTCGGGAGTGGGGTCTCGGGATTATTTAGAGTTTAGGGTTCATTTAGATTTAGGTTTCAGGGGATTTTAACGTTAAGCTTTTGTCCGTTGACATCCACAGCTTTTCCTGTTAACTCTGTCTCAAGAAGGGCTGAGAGTTGCATGGGCGCTGGCCGAAACCGCGGTCTCTGCTGAAAAAGGGCTTCGTTTGGAGAAAGCTTGAAACTCGTTGCAACTCGACGAACAAAAGATCACCATGTCCAAAGCTCCATCAGCCCTACACCCCGAATTCCCCAATCCCCCGGAACCCAAAGCTCGCCAAAAGCCGTGATGTCAACCAACAACATCCCCAGCCAAGGTCTGACAGAGGATCCCAGAAGAGCGGGTTTACCCTCGCAGACCAAGAACTACGCCCAACATGTCCCAGAATGGCTCAACAAAATGCAGAGCCGAGATTCCAAAGAAGCTTCAAACCCTGAAGCCCCAAACCCCCTAAACCCTAACCGTGAACCCCTTCAGCACCCTAAACCCCAAACCCTGAAACCGTTAAGCACCTAGACCCCTAAGTCTCCACCACTAGAAACCCCAAACCCCGTAAACCCCATAAACCCTGATGAACCCTGCAATCGCTGGCTAACACCCTCAAAATTCCTAATCGGCCCCTCGCCTGGATTGTCCGAGTCTGAGCGCCGAAACCCTAAGCCCCTAAACCCTAAACCCTAAACCCGAAACCCTAAACCCTAAACCCTAAACCCGAAACCCTAAACCCTAAACCCGAAACCCTAAACAAAACCCAAAGCCCAGGAGAGCCTCCGGGATCGACTCGAGTCCTCGCTCCCCCAGCTCTTAGAAGCGAAGCTTCAGGTGCAGGAGATGCGTAGGGTTTTTGGGGTTTAGGGTTTAGGGTTTAGGGTTAAATGATAGATCCTCGAGGGTTTTCGGGGGTTTACATACCCATAGGCTCCATGATAGTTCTTTTTTGTGGTTAATACTTAGATGATCAGGTAATCCCGAACAGGAACTACAATGGAGCCTGTGGGTAGAACGCCAGTACACCAGAATAATAGCCTACGTGTCTACTTCCCCCCCCCAGTTTCCTACAACTTTGGGTTAAAGTAGACCGCTATTTTGGTTAACTGGGCTTTCCCGATAGGGCTTCATAGTGGATTTGGCGAAAAGTTTACGAAGCCCTAAACCCTAAGCCCTAGAGGTTCAGGGGGGAGATCCCATGGCGTTCAGGTTCAGGGGTGTGTATGGTTTAGGGGGATCAGTGGTCAGGGCTTCTTGTGGGCGAAGAGAGAAGGGTGCTTTAAGGGATTTAGGGATTTTAGGAGGTTGCCTTAGAAGTAAGGGCTCCTTTAAGACTGAAAGCGGAGATCTCATGGAGTGTGGAGGTTGGGGGCTTTACGTTAGCGGCTTGGGTTTGGGTTTCGGGGTTGGGGGTTGGGGCTCTCGAGATTCAGGGAATTGGGTTGCAGGGTTTAGTGGGGCTTCTCAGGGGAGGCTCGAAGGTTACCTTGAAGTGGGTTCGAGGGTTTACTCTGCAGGTATAGGTGAGGGGTCCAGGTTACATTGGCTTCGGGGTCGAGAGGTTGGACTAGACTCTTGAAGGTGTTTTTGTGTGCTTTTAGGGGTTTAGGGTTCAAGGTTGGGGGGTCGGTACAAGTAGTAGAAACAGTGTGGCATGTTTTTTTCAATATGGCATGAATAACATAACACCCAAGTTCTAACTGTGAATCTGGGCGGGGGGTGTTAGGAGTTGTCTTTTGTGAGATTTCTGATGGTTGTAAAAGGTTGGCAGGGGAGTTACTTGGGTCTCGGCTTCGGGCTACATAGAGGTAAACCCTAAACCCGAAACCCCTAAGCCCCTAAACCTTAAACCCTGAATCCTAATTTGTGTGAATGACATTCGTGCGCTCACTTGGCATGAGGATGCTGCTTCGCGTGGTCAGCCGCAGGCCGGGTAGATGTTTCTTTGTAAAATCTCTCTAATATAGGGGCCTTAATAATCAGAATAGGGTTTGGGGGTATATTCATGATCATCCTAATATAGGGGCCTTAGTAGCTACCTATACTAATTTGGGGGTTCCTTATTATAATTATAGTATGATATACCACAAAACCCTATTCTAATTATAAATCGAGGCCCACACATTATAGCCCATATTGAGAATTGAGCTCTTTCTGAAATCTCTAAACCTTGAGAGTTACGGGGAAACAAGGATCTTGGAAAATTGGATCGATGCAGCTCCCGACACGGCTCAACCGGAGGGCTCTTGGTACCTCAGGTATTTGGAGCCCCGGTTTTAGGGTTGGGGACTTGTTAACTTGTCGTGCTTCGGGGCAAAGTCGACATTTGGCCTTGAGGTTGTACGTAGCGTGTGGAGGGCCTCAGTTGCGGGGAGGGTGGGCATCATGCCTCTTGGGGCCTAAAGCCCTGAACAAACCCTAATAAGAGGTTCAGTTCTCCATGCTTGACGACCAGTTAGCTCCAGGTTTCCTTGGCGGATGGAGAGATTTACGGATGTAGAGTTTTAAATATGTTTTAAATACACGGTTTTTAACTTTGGATACTCGGACTTAAGGCGTATACTAGGGGTTAGGGCTTATTGCAAAAACCAACATCATTATTTTCGTGCTTCGAAAATGAAGCAGGGCGGCGCCTCGCCCGGTTGCCCAAGCTGTGAGAACTTGGCCCAGAAATCTTGCATCTAAAAATTGACAACTCCTTCACCGAAACCAAAGCCTTAGGCCATGATGCTATACCGCTCCAGCCTGACCCTAAAGCGGCAAGCCCTAAATTCGAATAAGACCGTAATCTAGGAGTCCGAATGATCGGTATCGTATTGTTCCTGCATATTTAAAGTGCAATGTACCCAAATCTTGGTTTTCGTTTCCACGCTCCTACATTATCCAGGATGTGGCCACCTGCACCAGTGCTCTGACTGAGGCACAGAGCGGCCAGGCATCGGTGTTACGAGTTTCCGGTGTGGAGTTTTAGGTTTAAAGGGATGCAACTCTTTCAGGCTTTGGTCTTTGGAGCTTTTAGTGTTTTGTCAGGGTTCTGAAGGTTTCATGTTCAGGGTTAATGATGAGGGTTCGGAGTTTAAGCACCTGGTCAAGCCGAATCCGGTAGATTGGAGAGTGTCATTGGCCGAGTGGAAGTTGTGAAGTTGTGCCTGATCCGAGAGAACGCCGTGGCTTCACCGCGTACAACTTGCTGCAAGAGCATCATACCCTTGGCTTCATTGGTTGAGTGCAGAGGATGGCGCTCAAGCTCTTTCATGTCATGATATTGTCCAGGGCCTTCTGATGTTGCATAAAGCGACGATTCTTAGGAAGAGCTTTCAATCATGGAAAGATACAACATACTCCAACACGAAACTTCATTCACAAAGGTTTTGAATGTACAGCCTGCAACTTGCTGCTGACTTTCAGCTTCGGGCCCACCGCAGAAGGTCCTGCACCGGCTACTCCAACATCCTCCGCGCTAGCCCTCGACCCGAAACCCGGTGCCCTAAACCCCAAAAGCTGGCAGCCTTCCCCACCCGGAGCCCTGAACTCGCCCCTAACCCTAAACCATAAACCCTACATAGTTTGGGTTGAGGCATGGGATGCACCCGTTGCCTCGCTTTGAGGTTCGACTCAGGTTTTTTGGAGCCTCATCTAGGGGCCTTAATAATTAACAATGCTATTTTGGGAGGCTCCTTATTATAAGTATAGTACAATATGCCCCAAAACCCTATTCTATTTATTAAGGCTTCTACGGTATAGGTTTTAGGGTTTCGGGGGTAGATGAGAGTTGGACTTTCAAGCAACAGTGCCCCCATGTAGTTCGCGTTAGTACCACCGGGAACCCTATGAAAACCCTGCCAAAAGCTCCAAAAGAACATTCTTCAAGCTATCAAGGCCCCAAATCAGGCCAGTCTAGTCTGGATTCTAAACCCTACCTGGACGCGAAGTAACCTACCTTTTCAGGTTCTTCAGGGTTTGGGTAGGCCCTAACAGCCCTTGCAGGTAGCTTCCTGGAAGTTGCTCACGGACCGAAGCTCAGAGATCGCCGCTATCGGAGATGTGTCGAGACGAGATGTGGATGACCATGGACGCATTGAAGAAAAAGGACCAGAACAATAATAACAATAAACATAACAACAATAGTAACAACAGTATTCTGGTTGGTGCTTTGGTGCATTTTTTATTTTCTTGGGGTTTGTGGCTTTCGGAGTAGTGGTTGCACTTAAGAATTAATTAATCCGCAGACCTTAGGCTCAGGGTGGTTTCGGTTGGGTCTACGGGTTCGGTCTTTAAGCCCCTGCAGCCCTAAACCCTCAACCCCTCAACCCCAAACCCTGAACCGCCTAAACCTTAACCCAACACCCTACACCCCTAAACCCTGAACCTTAAACCCGACACCCTAAACCATAAACCCCTAAACCCAACACCCTAAACCATGAACCCCTAAACCCTAAAGCCTGCTCATGTCGTCGACGACAACATCAGCGAGACCGTGAAGGCGCCCGGCTTTAAACCCTAAACCCCTAAACCCCTAAACCCCTAAACCCCTAAACCCTGAACCCCTAAACCCCTAAACACCTAGACCCCTAGAGGCCCAAACCCTGAACCCCTAAACCCCTGTAAACCCTAAACCCCTAAACCCTAAAACCCTAACCCTGAAACCCTAAACCCCTAAACCCTAAAGGGCTTGGTGTGGGCTTTTTCAGGGTTTTTTCAGGTTCACCCTGGTCTGTGCAAGACCAGGGTTGGGTTTTTTGGGTCTGCGCAAGACCCGGCCTTCGGTCCGTGCACGACCGTTGGCCACCCTAAACCCTAACCCCCCTCACCCCAACCCAAACCCCACCCACCCACCACCCCCACCCAGGCACACCACCCCCAACCCACCCCACCCAACCCACCCACCCACCTGTACCCACCCCCCCCCTCCCCCCCACACACACACACACACAGACACACCCCAAACCCACCCCACTCAACCCACCCCCGCCCACCTGTAACCACAAACCCTAAACCCTAGACCCTAATACCCTAATACCCTAAACCCTCAACCCTTAACCCTTCACCTTAAATTAAACCCAAAACCCTGAACCCTAAACCCTAATTTTTTTAAACTCTAAATTTTAAACCC